ATTGGACCCCACTGCACTGCAGCTATTATATAATTTTCATTTTTTTGTGTGTAGAGGGTTCGGATTTGTTACATATACCACAGTCGAGGCTACAAAGAAGGCAATAGATGATCCAGACAAGACCTTTGGGGTGAGTGACTAATGAGCCTTGATAATAGCCTTTTGAAATAGCCGGTTTAATTTTTAGCATTATAGAAGATTCCAATCATTTAAATCCTCAGATATGCTGTAATTTATGTTTCAAGCGACAAGAAAAAAGGGAAAAGGCCAGAAGTAAGGGTAGTCCTAAGGGTAAGATTATTGCTTCCGGAGTTCTTAAGGGTCCTTTATCTCCTTTCCTTTTCTTACTTGTGGTGGATGATTATTGTGAGCAAGTATAGTTCTCATCACTTTGACTGAATTTTTGGTGGGTTTAAAGGCACCTTCAGAACCCGTGGAAAGAAATTTCTAATAAGCTTTTTTTTTTCCTGATCTAATTTAGTGATGTGGTGGGTGATGGGTAGGGTACTCTGTTTTTGGAGGATAGATGGGTGGGGGATCGCCCCCTTTGCAATGTCTTTCCTAATTTTTATCATTTATCTGTTATGAAAAATTGTTTTGTCGTTGACGTTTTGATTCATGAGGGAGATCATTCTTTTTTTCGTTTGTTCGATAGAGAAACGATGGGGATTATGACTCTCCTTTCTTTAGTGGGAGACTTCAATTTTAGGCAGGGGAGAAAGGATTGTTCGACTATGGAGTCTTCATCCTTCGAAGGGTTTCTCGTGTAAGATCGTATTTTCTTTATCGAGTGGATCATTCTTCTTTTAGGGAGTTTGTGTTATCAATTTTTTGGAAGGTGAAAATTCCAGAAAAGGCGAAGTTCTTTGTCTGGAAGAATTAACACTTCAGACAAACTTTCGAGAAAGTTATCGACCTTGGTTGGGTCGTTCTATTGCATTCTTTTGCAAGCATTTCTATAATGTGGTGAGTGTTTGCAGGGAAGGAACATAATTGTGAAGCTCGCCGATTCACACAGGAACAAGATGATGCAGGCACAAGTACCCCCAGCTATTCCTTCTATGCCATACCCAGTAGCAGCAGCTGGATATCCTCAACCTGGAAAACCACACGGCGGTGTTGCCCCTGTTGGCTATGCATATCCCCCCCAAGCTCTTGCATCATATCATGCTTCATATCCTAGTCTGACGTCCGCGCATGCTTCGTATGCGAGCCAACCCCAAATTCCACATCCCCATCAAGTGATAGGAAAGAAAGACGCTCCCGGACTCCACCTGATCACGCCTACTGGAATGGGAGGCTATCCATATTATATGGCGAAACAATAGATGTGATTTATGGGAGGTGAATTTCAAAACATGATAATATGTTAGCTTTGATTCTCATTCAATGGTTCATGGTTCACTGGTTTTCTGCAGGGATTTGGACATTGGCAATGGCCCTCTTGAAATTGGGTAATCTCTTCATCCTTGTGTAGCTTGTTGGAGTAATATTATTAGCATCGAGAAATAATGCATACTTATTCTTAGGATTAGAAGCAGTTGGTTCTGAGCATGAAACATATTGAACATATGACAGACAGAGTATTCTTGATCTTTCTGAATTGCATTTTACTCTCATTTCCTGTTTTGAATTTAGAAAACGGATCTCATAGTTACTGTAAGTATTAGATTAGATTAGATTAGATTATTTGTGTTCCATTAACAATTTTCTTCAAAGAAGTTCTTCCAAATTTTCTGTAATTGTTTAGGTTTTAGGTTTAAATATCATTTTCCTCTCGTTTTAATTTGTCTCTGTAATTTTAAATCTTTAGATTGAACTACTTTAGTTGAACTTTATCCACGACACACTTCTAGTTGAATTTTATTTTTAGTTAAGATATATGCAAACTAACATAAAAAATTTAAAGAATAATAGAAAAAACGGTGATAAATAGAACCATTTGGATTATAGATTCAAATTTTTCAATTGAAATTAGTGTTATTTGGTCGGAACTTGAAGGGTTCATAAAGTTGATGAACGATCAAGTGATATAAAACTATTAGATTTTGAAAATTAATTTGTTAAGTAAATTAGTCGTGTAATTATTTGTTTAATGAATCGAACTATGTACACATAAATTTAGCTCAGAGATTCAAAACAAATCATTTACAGCTATGCATAATTCAAAGTCAGGCTATGTTGTCAAATTAGTTACTATGATTCAAATTTAGTCAAAATTTACATACTGTTCATATGCCACATATCTTTACCATTTGAAGCTCTAAAGATCGAGCGATCGAAAATGAATATGTTTTTAAGATTACTCTTACTCGGGAATGTTTTTAATTTATTCGTATACTGTTTTTTATCCCAATAAATTTAAAAAAAAATGATGAAAAAGAAAAAAAAAAAAAAAAAAAA